GGCGCCTGCCCCGGGCCCGCTCAGCCGTCTCCCCACGGCGGGCCTCGGCCAGGGCTGTGGGGACGCCGGGCTTACGGCGTGATAGAGCCGTCAGGAGTTGGGGCTTTTGGCTTTTTTAGTGTAAGTGACCCGACAACCACTGAAAGGAAAATCCTGGGGGGAAGGAGGGTGGAGATGGCTCTGTCTGACCAGATCTGCCACCGCGGCTGCAGTAGCTAGCGGCAGCCGGGCTGCACGGACAAGGGCTGTGCGTGGAGCCCCCACATGTTGCATTTGAAGCTTGGGGAGCTGAGAGCCAGTTACTCCCAAAAGCCCAGGAGAAGCTCACAATTCTTAAAAAGGGGCTGAGGTGTATCTACGCTCCCCTGCCCAGAGGAGAGGGAAAGGGATATGTATGGGTGGGTATCTTTCTTTCTTGCCTCCTGTAATGCAAGTTAACTGCAGCTTTCCCCCAGGATATGGTGGAAAGATGCACCAGAAAACACTTCAAGTACAACACAGAATATATATAATATCTTTCCTAGTCGTGATTTTCACACATTTAATGACAGCTGGTGGCTCTAATTTAAGCAGACAATATTAAGGAAAGAGAAGTGAAACTCTTTTCTATGCTTGCTGACTAGGTTCAGTGTTAATTTGGGTAGTGCCATTGAATAATGAGATGCTGATATTATTTCAGTTATTTTTCACCATGCTTCACTGGCAACTCTTTGAACTATGCAATGTTCAAAGGAGGAATAATGACCCCGATTTACTGCCTGTGATGTGAGCCAAAAAAAACGTTTTATTTTGGCAGCTGAAGGGCTATCCTACTAGAGACAGGTTTAGTGAATACTAATCTTGGTAAGATTTAAGCCATGGTCTCAGAGCTCTTGGATGGGTTTTCCTGTCTGACTAGTTACAGCCTAAAGAGCTATCAACACCACAGCTTATAGAGCCCATACTGAATGAAACCACAGATCTGGACATCTGAGGCTTCACAGTTGTCCACATCTAAATCCACATCATAAACCTGCAGCAGAGGTCTACCTCTAAGCCAGTCCTGTCCTTTATGGCACAACACACAAACCACAATGGTAAAAAAAAACACCATGAAGCCTTCATGGATGAACAAGGAGCTCCTGGACAAACTCAGACACAGAAAGGAAGCCTACAGAGGGTGGAAGCAAGGACAAAAAGCCTGGGAAAAATACAGAGATTGAGCAGTCAGCGGTCAGGTTAGGAAGGCCAAAGCTCTCACAGAATTGTATCTGGCCAGGGATGTCAAGGGCAATAAGAAAAGCTTCTACAGGTACATTGGTGATAAAAGAAAACCTAGGGAGAAAGCGTGCCCTCTCCAGAAGGGAATGGGAGGCCTGGTTGACTGGGATATGGAGAAAGCTGAGGTACTCAGTGACCTTTTTTGCCTTAGTCTTCACTGGCAAGGGCTCCAGTGACACAGCCCAAGTTGCAGAAGGCAAAGGGGTGGACTGGGAGAATGAACTGCTCACTGTAGAAGATCAGGTTTGAGACCATCTATGGAACCTGAAGGTGCACAAGTCCATGGGACCTGATGAGGTGCATCTACGGGTCCTGAGGGAATGGGCGGATGAAGTGGCCAAGCCACTATCCATCCTATTTCAGAGGTCATGGCAGTCTGGTAAAGTTCCCATAAGTGGAAAAGGGGAAACATAACCCCCATTTTTAAAAAGGGAAAAAAGGAAGACCCAGGGAACTACAGGCCAGTCAGTCTCGCCTCTGTGCCCAGCAAGATCATGGAGTGGATCCTCCTGTGAGGGTGGTGAGACACTGGCACAGGTTTCCCAGAGAAGCTGTGGCTGCCCCCTCCCCGGCAGTGTTCAAGGCCAGGCTGGACGGGGCTTTGAGCAACCTGGGCTAGTGGAAGGTGTCCCTGCCCAGGGCAGGGGGGTTGGAACTAGGTGATCTTTAAGGTCCATTCCAACCCAAAACATTCTATGATTCTATGATATTTGTAGGTGTAATTTACTCTTGGGGCCTAGCTCACAACTCCATCAATTTAGTTTTATAGCAGTGTAAAATGAGAGTGAGCCAGTAATGAATCAGATTGTCTTCTATTCTTTTTGAATCATGTTGTTCCTAATATTGTCTGTTATTATGTAGTTAGAGAGAACCCAACGAGTTAGAGGCATTTCAGTGAGTTAGCTCCATGGATTCAGTCTCATTTCACCTGAAATTAAATGGCAAATTCTTCACACCAGAAGCTCTGCCTACTAATTGTGAAGTACTTCTAGATACTGTAGAGCAAGACTGGCCAAACTTCACACGTGCATTCTTCATGTTTATTCTTAAAGAATAGTGTAAGATGTAAGCTAAATGCCATAAGATATCCTTAGTTCATGTTCCTTACAAAAATCACATAAAGAGGTCTGTTGTACTTTGCCTTGGAGCGATGAGCAGCATAACTACAGTTTCTTCTTATGTGAAGAGTACTGAGCTTGGCTGGAAACAAACCAGAGCCTGCAGGCTGTGCTGTGCCTTGACAGCCTGGGATCCAACTGCCTCACCTGAAAAGTGATACTTTAGACCTCTCTCACCCAACCCCAGCTTCTAACATAACCCACATTTCTGCATGCCTTTCCAGGTGAATTTTTACGCTACTTTTCGAAAGTAGATTCATAAAACAGTCCTTCCAGCACTCCTGGATCACTACTGCTCCCACAGTAAAACTTACCCTGACAGATGAATCAGGTACTTTGTTTTACTTTGAATACCAGTTTTGACATAGTCAGGGTTTCTGGGTGAAAAAGCCTAATAACTTGTCCAGTTGTACTAGAAAGTTGTTTTTCCACATCGAGGCTCATCCTCTGAGGTACCTTCATCCCTCACAGTGCTTTCTGCTGCTATCTCTTGGTCCAGCTGCCATGGATACCCACCTAGGACAGTGGACCTGAATCAAGCCTGTCATTGTGACTTTATGGTGGAGGTTCTGCCCCAAAAATTATCTGTTTTCCTCTCTCGGGCTTGAGTGTCACACATATCCAGGCAAACAGAAACTCAGAATGTATCTAAAAATGTTCTGAATTTCATCACAAAAATATAGCTTCCACGTGAGTGCTGTTGGGAGCTGAATCTCAACGAGACATTTTCCTGAAGGTGAGTGGGAGTCCCCGTCGGCAGTGCCTTTGCCGTGTCAGAATTGCTCTCCTGTTCATTGCTGCATGTGACAATTCCTTATTTTTCTCAAACTGGATTAAATCACTGTATCAGTCACGGCCCTGACTTTTTGAAATGCTGATTTATGATGGACAGTCTATGAAACTGCTCCAAATTACAGGGAAGGTATTTCTGTATACCAGTACCCTTTTGCATCTGAAGATTAGATATCTATATTGCAAGTCTTTGCCAATCTCCATGGCAACTAAACACTCACCACCTAGGTTATGTGTTCAAGTACAATTATTTTCAATTCTTTTCCAATTAAGATTCCATAACAGCCTCATTTTCTCACTGTAACCACAGTACTTGCAAAAAGGCATTGTAGCATTATGGTGTGAAATATTCGTGCTTATAGCTGTACTGAATGTTCCTGGTTGGAAACTGGCTGGTAGTAAAAGGGCTGCATCAGATCTTCACTTTTCTTAATTACCTCTGGATTCTTCTGCCTGAAAATACAAACACTGCCAAGTCATGAGAGTATCCTTTTTTCCATCCTGTTGAAAATGGAAACAATTATCCCGTATGAAATTGTGAAATAACAGCATTGTTGCTTACAGAAAATTGGTAAACCAAGGACAATGTAAAGATGATTACAAAGTTAGCCTAGCCTCTCTATAAAAAAAGATACTAACGTGAAACATTATAAAATAGAATAAATTATTATAATTTTGGTAATTTTAAATTTATATTCCCAGAAGTGTATCTATAGTATTCATTTATTCGTATTTGTTAAATCATTCAGACTGTGAATTCTCTTGAATGATAAGCTGCTTTGTGTCTGGATAGTGTCTAGCACCGTAGGCCCTCAGTGCATGAATAGAAGCACTAAGTAAAATAGTAATAAACATAGCAATATTAAAATTATATCCCTTACATGAGCTTCTGCTGAGTAGCTAATTGTTTAAAAACAGTAAAAACTGTACCATGATTGGCTTGGCAATACAAAAATGATGAAATAACAATGGGACACATACAGCTAATTCTGTAATTTCTTAAAGAAGTTCTTGCTGCTAGAGATTAAATGAGTTAGGAAACTGAATGACTGCTACTCAGGAAATGAAAATATTTTAAAATGTATTTTCTAATGTAAGCAAAGCAGATATATAGGCACAGTCTTTGCATCACTACAATGGGCATTTGAAAGCCTTTTCTGGAAAATGTGAATCCTCATGCCAATATAGTGTGTTCTGTGTCTCTGAACCAAGACTGGCACATCAGTAAACACTTTTTGTCGTGAATGCAATTTGTAGATCCTTTACTTACATTTGTGAAACAGCCATTGCTTGATGAGGTTTTATAGTTTTCATATACAGATTCTGGGAGGATTAACGGGAAGTGTTTTTCATTCTCAAATGTGTGAGTTGTCAAAGCAACTTCTAATTCACAGTAATTTTTATGGAAGTTGTTTCAATGTCATGGGTGAAATATTGGCCCCATGGAAAACTGAGGAGCCGTGGGCCCCAGCTGGCACTCTGGAGCATCTCTAGGAATGTCGTACAGTGACCTGTGCAGCCAGGCCTCTTGCAGGAGATCGTGTTGGTATCTGAAGTTGTAAAGTAAGTAGCAGAAAATGACATAGAGTGTATCTACCCAGCTGAGAGCCTCATTCATCAGTGAATCATTTTCATCGGAAAAAGCAACCTGCACAAACTTTATAGGGGAACTACATTTACTTTCTTAAATGTGTCTGTATTTGTTTTCACTGCCCATGTAAGGAACCATTTCTTTCCTGTACAGGACTGAAATATTGGCTTCACTCACTAGGATCCTGGACAGGCACACTGATACACTATCTGTTGTGCAGATGAGATATTTATTAGTCTTAAAGGTATTGCATTTCAGTTTGCTCTTTTCTCCATTTCTTGAGAAAATGTGGAAATTGGTGGAGGCTGTTTGACCTGCTTTATTCCCCTCTCTGCTTTGTCTAATTGTCTTTTTAGTTTTTCTTTGCCTTCTGGACCATTTCTGTTAGACCTCTGTGTTTTGAGGCAGCCAGAGGAGAAAAAAGTATCCCAGAACACAGCAAAACTTCCCTATTTTTGTATTTTAACTTTTATAGAGTCATTACCACATTTTCCAGTCTTGCACACTTTAATAATTCCTTTTCTTCATTAGACGTGAGCTGAGATCTTAAACTGCTTTCCATCCTGAAGGTTTAGGTGTAGCTTACAACTTTGCTCTGAGAAAAAAGTAGCCAGTTGTACCACTGTTTCCAGTGTCTTCCTCATTTGATCTCATGCAGGTGCCTACAGCAAGAATATGACTCCAGTCTGCCCACTGCTAGTGTCATCATCTGTTTCCATGACGAAGCCTGGTCTACTCTGCTGAGAACCGTGCACAGCATTATGGACACAGCCCCAAAGGCCTTGCTCAAAGATATCATCCTAGTCGACGATCTCAGCCAGCAAGGTAGCCTCCATTTCTCTGTATGTGAGCTGTTTTTTCCAGAGCTTCAGGGAAGAAACTGTCCTCTTCCAGGTGTGTGAAGAAAGCAGAAGGCAAAGAAGACCCTCAGGAAGATAGCTAAGCAGAGGCCTGAGCTGGCTGCCAGATTTCACTCTTCCATTCCTAGAATTCAGCTTAACCATTCAACTTTGAAATATGCTGCTTTTCCCCCCATCATTTCCAATCACTCTGAACTTTCTTACTTTAAAATAAGATCACAGGATGCAAATCTTAGCCTTCCCACTGGACCAGATCTGCTGTAATAATTTCCAGACTTGGATTTTGGCTGAAGCATGGAGTGGAAAACTCCACACTGCTAAAATAATCCAAAGCACTTGGGAAAGCCAAACACCTGTAGTATCTCACTCTGATCCATGCCTTTTATGAGATGATGAGAACATCCACCTTTTGCTGAAAACAGGAGAGTAGGCTATTAAATTTCCCACAGGAATAGTTTCACACCTAGTGAATCTCAGCTTCCATTAGTCTCTACTTCTCTTTGTTATTATGCTGCTGTGGGAGTATTTGGAACATGGCCTATTTGGCCATGTACAACAAATGCCCCCAAAACATTTTACCAGCAAGAAGTAGCATCTCCTACTCCCTGTTGCTTTTCTGTTACAGCTTGAATCAAACCTAAAACATTTCAGTGACTCTTCTGTTTCTGACAGGACCCCTGAAGTCAGCTCTGAGTGAATACATTTCTAAACTGGATGGTGTGAAACTCATCCGGAGCAACAAGAGGCTTGGAGTCATCCGAGGTCGGATGCTAGGAGCTGCACGGGCAACCGGAGATGTGCTCATCTTCATGGATTCACACTGCGAGTGTCAGAAGGGCTGGCTGGAACCCCTCCTAGCCAGGCTGTCCAGCAACCGGTAAATATCCCTGTGACCTCTGAGATGCCTGCATATGCTAATTTCTGCTGAAAGAGATGTACTTGGAAAGATCTGAGATTTTTTTTTTTTTAATCCTCTCTTGGTTACCTTCTTCCTTCTGGTCACATTGCTTTTATTTTCTACCTTATCACCACACGCATCACAGATACATGGGAAGCAGGATAGGTCACACATCTGATAACCCTCACCACACCCAGTATCACTGAACTGTCAGAGTTTGGTTCCAGTTAGAGCTATAAGAAAGCTTCCTGGTACTCTAAATTTAAAAAGTTGAGGTCTCAAGCTGTTTGCAAATTGGCAAACATCCACCAGAGAAACTACTGCAAGACTCCATTATTATTATGTTTTAGCTGTCTCAGTGATGAAGCCAAGGATAAAATGCTTTGTCCTCCTGAGCCAGTTTGGCTACATACCAATGTCACCTATACCATCCCTGTTCCACAGAAAAAAAATAAACTTTATGGGCAGTCTCAACCATTCTAGATAATCGTGAGTACTCTCACTGACACCAAACTGACAGAGGAAGATAGAGATCTGTATTTTCGGAGTCTTTCATGTTTAGGTTGGTGCTTGGGCCTGCTTTCTAGCTGAGCTCATCTATGCAGTCCCCAGGTCCTTCAAAGAGACTAAATCACTGCAAATATTTCAAAAATTACATGGCAGTAAATCCTTTATTAAAGGGACTTTTCTGAAAGAAAATTTTGTACATTAACTTGTCTATCATTACCCATAAGCCACTTGGGAAAAATTGAATAATTGCTACAGGGGGTAAAAGGAAAAAAAATTATTAAAACTCTTACCAGACCGTTAAATAGTCATACTAAAGACCTTCAAAGGCTGTTCCCAGGCACTGGAACAAGCTGCTTTTATGGCTGATTATGTTTGATTATAAGAGAATTAATGTGAGTTTTTAGAAATTATTACATCATTCAGATGAAAATGTTAAGAATACTGAAAGAAAGAGTAATGCTGCCCTAAGATGTCAGGAACATTCTTTTCTAAAAGGTCCTTCTTGGAAAAGCAGATTATTTTTTGTCTGCTGACTTATTGGATGGTTTCTTATTAATATAGTTCATGATTCTTCTGCCTTGAGCTACAGTCTATTCTTGATGTTCATGCAAAACTCCAAACTGTATCAATTGGCCAGTCCTTATTCAAGGCTGTATTGCTGAAATTCAGAGTTACAAAAAGTCTCAGAGGAGAGCTGTAGTGAATGGAGAATTACAATGGCATGAGAGAAGTTAAGACCCCACCACAAGTGAAGTGATTCACTGTCAAAAATTATCCTTTCTGAAGGAATGCAAAGCCACCGAGCCTACTATCACTCTGAGATTTCTGTAGCACTGTCACCAGGGCATGAGAAAGGGATTCGCTTCCTCTGTAGGGTCTATACGTTTATTCGTTCCTCCAGAGGGGCAGAATTTAACACTGAGTTAGCTAATGGCTAATTGGATTAATGGGACAAAGGTGGAAGAGCATTTGGATAATATGGGCTAAGCCATCCCCTTCTGTATGATGTATCAGTCACTGTGTCTGTCCCTGGAAGCTTTGTCACTGCTAGTGTGGAGAACCAGTACCATTCTCCAGTGCACAGGGAAGACAGGCTCTAAGGCATCTGGCAATCACTTTCCATCACTGTTCCTCTTTCTCCGGTTGAAGAATGGTGATAATAACACTGACCTGATAAGGAAGTTAATTCATGATTTTTCCAAAACTGCTTGTAATGCTTGCATGGAGATCACCATGGAAATGTAAATCATTAGCAGAGTCAACTTGGCTTCATTTAGCAGTTGAGGAGCTGTTAAATTGAATCATGTGCACTCTCAGAGACTACCCAAATGAGGAAAGTACAGTGAAAAAAAGTTTACAGTGTCTGGTGAAATATCCATCTTTCCTCTTCTCAATGTACCAATCATGTACTTTTGCTGGAGAGGCAGGATGGGAAAACAATCACATAGAGGGAGGGAAGGAGTTGTTTGCTGGCAAGGAAAAGTGCAGCCTTTCCAAAGCTCAAACCTTTGCAGGAGCTTAATGGAGCTGGAGGGAGATTTTAACTTTGAAAATTGTGATTAAACCTAATTTTCTAGACTCCCGATCAGATCTACCACTATTACTGTGACCTCTTTTAGAGTGATGCTGAGAGACCCTTGCCCAAACTGAGACCTCACTGTGAGCTGAACATACTCACAAAAAGGGAGATACCTTAGTAGCCTGTGGTAATGATAGACAGGACAAACATGAGAAAAATTATTCCAGTTTTACAGGTGTGGAAATATTTGACAGATATTTGACTTGCTCTGGGTGATGACATTTCATCTCCCTACATGATGGTTTTATTCACTAACCCAATCGAAATTATTTTCCCCAGAAGTATTGTCTTTCTAAAATCATTACACATGCATTTATGGGCACCTTGACTGGCACTAGTTCTGTGAACCATACCTAGCAAATCGACTGGGAAGCTGTGCATCAGCTTAGTATATTGCCTAGAGAATGGTTCAGCGGTTTGCAAAAAATCCCTTGACATTTGGATTATTCAAGGATGAATACCGTAGGCACCTGGATAACATTAGAAAACTAGATGAGATGCCTCACAGATCATTTCATCTGACAACTGTTTGTGTTCCAGGATAATTCCAGGTGAGTACCATGGTGCATAGTAATGCAGCTGTGCAATTATTACAGTCATCTTTTGAGGGGTTCACCTTTTTCAGGAGACCGCAGGGGACAGCTGCTATTTTGTATTCAGTCCAAAGACAGTGAAAGGCAGAGGGGGCATATCATGAACTGTGTCATGTTCCTTTAACCTAAAAATAGTGACCACCATGCTGAAGCAGGATAATTTAAGAAATACTGAGAATACTTCATGAAAACAAAATGAGCCTTGTTTATACCCTTGACAAGGAATTCCACCTCTAAAAAAGGCATGGGTACCATAACCATGTCAGAGAGGTGGCTTGTAAAGGGGTAGCTTGCCCTTAGGACCTTTCCCCTGCTCCTGGTTGGAAGGGCTGTTTCCCCCAGTGCTGGTGCACTGCCTATACTGCAGCTCAGATATTATGTTAGGAAACAGAAGCCTGTGATGTTATTAAAAGAAGCCTAGCTAGTTTCTGAAATTCAAAGTGCCTCTTTCTAGCACTGTGATTCTAGGTCTCTAATCTTTAATGAAAACACTGTCAAACTGCATAACAAGTGAACATAGCAGTCAAAAGTTCTCATCTGCTGTTTGCTCCCATTCAGGAGTGAATGGGAGCCTCTGCTTGCAGATACAGGAATAGAAACAGAGTTCTGCTGTCCAGAAAATTTCCGTGTGGTTCTAGTTTTATGGTAATACACTAGAGAGAAGGGAAATATTTTGCACCACAACTCCTTCATCTCTTTTCATCTGATTCTCCACCTCTCAGTGGCCCATACCACAGCTTTTCAAGCTACCAAATACATAAGCCATCTGTTTTCTACCTTCTCACAGGCTCAGAGAAGCATGATGTTATCTGTCCAGAGCCCAAACAACCCCAGCATCTGAGCATGCATTTCTGTGCTATTTTCCTTGTTTTGAAAACCTCCCATATACTTCACATGTAAGCCTACTTATTGGGACTTCTCTTTTTGCCTGATCCTTTTATATCCTCCATTTGTCAATAGCAGTCATTTCAAATTCAGTAAATTAATGTTCTGCATTTACACGGTATGCTATGTGAAGATATGCTATCTCTTTGCAATCTGTCACAGTTGATCAGGATCAGTAGATGACCTATTTTAAAGAAGTTGAGGTAAAGAAACTGAAGATTAGACTCTAAAGCCAAAAGCAAATATTACTGCCAAAAGAAGGGGCAGTGAGGATTTAGGCATGATTCATGGCACAGTGCTCTGCCTGTCCAGTGTAAAAAGGTATTCATCACTCCCACAGATTTTTGGTAACCGAATACATTTGTGTATTTTAACAAAAAAGACAGGTTCCAAAAAAAATATTATTTTTTAAATAAAACATGCCCTTAGCACTATTCCCTAGCAGAGTTTTGAAGTATATATTTTGTGCTTAGCGTATGAGTAGTCCATCAATTCAAGGAGACTGTTCATGTCCCCTAAGTTAGTCCGGAGTTGGTTTGTAAGGCAGCATTTAGGTAATCCTTTATACCATAGCTTTAACATCTCTGATAGCTGCATTGTATCTTGTTATTAACCTTATCTCATTTCAAATGCTTTGCATTACTATTTCCCTGAAGACTTCAGCCAGCCAGCAAGGTGCTTTCACTGACAATGCAGTGTGCTGTGGAACCAGCTTGGGTTCTCAGTTAATTACTTTAGTTTTGACTATGTGCAGAGCCAGAGAACATGGACTGCTTGGATTTCCTAGCTATCTAATTTTTGCAGGGAATGACCCACTCTAAAACTGGTTGAGGGAAATACATAATTTTCATGGGTTGATTTTTTTTTCTTACATCTTATATAAAGGGGGTTTTAAACAATTAAAATCTGTTCCCTTCCCAGCAAAAGAAAGTATAAATCAATAAACACTTTCAAAAACCAGTGTATCTAAAACGTCGAAACAGATGTGTTAATTAAATCTTCTTCTCATGTTACTTATTCTAAAAATAGAAAAGAACATAATGTCCATGGTGACTGTAAAGGGTCATGGGAAGACATTTCATTTGCAATTGTATTTGGTTGAAAAATCCCAAACCAGGAAATTGTTCTTGTTTGGGTTGCTCTTTTTCATGGAATTGTGACCTTCTGTAGTTCATGTGTGTTCCAAGCATTTGAAATATTCACAGATTAGTCAAACGGTTCAAAGTCTTGCTGCTAGTTGTATTCAGATTTCCTGTTTTTTCCTTTCCTTGGATTCCACAGAGTAAAATTAGCAGTACTTTGCCAGTGTGTATTTCATTTCAAAATGCTGAGAACCTGCTGACTGTCTGCCAGTTATCTGGTTAAAACCAAAACAATATCTAAGAATATCTTCCAACTTTCAATTACCTTCTGATGCAAATCTGCATTTAGAACCACACAAACATCAAACCATCAGTGAATATGCAGAAAACAGATCTTTTATTTTAAAAAAGCATTAATAGCAAAAGATGGGTAAAGCACTGCTTGATTAAGATTAAAATTGGACATTAAGCAGTTTTCACACAAGATAAAGTTACTTGATTCCTCTATTTCAGATCAGAAAGATACTCCCAATATTTAAAGAGTTCAATAGTAGCAACAAATTTAAGGAGGATCCAAGAAGAACAGGTTTTAAATGGCTGAAATGATATGAAAATGTGGGATAGCCTGAAATGCCTGGATCATCTGATCCAGTATATATCTGAACCAGAACATATCTGAGCGTAACTGAGTATCCACATTGTCTCTGAACTATTTTGGTTATGCATGTGTGGTCTAGTCTCATGGTCAAGGTTTTCTGAATGGTTTAGTCTACATTGCCGCCTCTGGCACTCAAGCACGTCCTCCTGCTATTTCCCTCTTGACTCTGAAACTGTAAAATAAACTAACCTGGGATCATTAGTTCCCAGGTCCTGTCTGAATATGCATGGATAAACAAGTAGCAATAGATAGCATGCATTTCAACAAGTATCAACAAACCGTGGCAGGAAGTACACAGCTCCAGCTGCACTCCTAACCAGACAGTTGTCAGAGATACTTGTCCAGTGGAGAATGCAGCAGGCAGTAAAAAGTGCAATTACACTGACTTTTCATTTTTTTAAGTTTAGTCATATAGAATCCATTTAACTTGTTAGATGGATTTTTCTCAGTATATCAAAGAAAAAATGCCTGGTTGTGTGAGTCCGTCAGGACACCAGCTTTTAGTAACTTCCAGAAGCTGTTAGTTTCCTTTTCATACTGTTAGTGAGTGAAGGTTAAATACCGTTTTCAGTAGAAAGGCTCCTGCTGCCTTGAGTTTGAGGTGGTTGCTCCTGCCCTGGATACAAAACTATCACAGGGGCATCATCAAGAGAATCAGGGGAGAATACCAGCTTTAGTATTTTTAGTAAAATATCTTTCCATTTCTTCTTGAGTCCTGCGGGAGAATGACAGCAAATGACTGACTTAATGTATATGCCTACAAATGTTGCAGGTGATCATAAAATTTTCTCACCTATTTGTAAACCCAATGCTTGTTTCTAAGAGTGCTTATTATTACATGATGGAGAAATATAATCACTTCTCTATTCTAAATCTTTCTACCTTTAGCTCATCATAGGGCAGTCTGCTCTTGTTAGGAAACAAAGGAATAATGAGTTATTTTAACACTATCCTCTGCACAGTTCATACAATTCACTGACAATCAGTAGTCTCTGTTTCTCCATGGACTTCTAAAATTCTCTACAGGAAGTGGCAACTGTGATAAAAACAAAATTTGGAGTTTCCCCTCACCCTGATACTGAAAAAACATTAGCAATTGTAAAGGCAGAGAAGATATGTCAAGATTACATTAACATCACCCAGAGCTACCATCTTCCTCAGCTGGTTCTGGTCTCTGCTGTAGGAATGTACAAAGGGCTCACTGCACTGGAGACTTCTGAGATGACCTTTCTTCATTGATGGTATTATAAGTGTATTTCTCTCAAGAGTGATCTCTGACCAACATGTAAATCTTTAAAAGAGGAGATAAAATCTTCTACTTCTTGCCCCAGAATGGATCATTTAACTTCTCTCTCTCAGTTGTAACAAGAAGTTATTTTCTAGGAAAAGAGCTATTCCAGAATAGTTTCCTATATGGATACTTTTAGTCTAGAACAAGAGTAATTTTTCCCAGTGTACTTTCATCCCCAGTAACTGTTACTGATTTTTCTCCAGAGGACCTTCTGCCTATAGACAAGCCCTTACACTGAGACCAGAGACTATCCTTTTCGCATAACAGAGAAACAGAGAAGATATGGATGATGTTGTTCTTCAAGGTTTTGGTTTTGGTTTTGGTTTTGGTTTTTTTTTTTTTTTTCCTGCAACCCCTAATAGCATTGCATTTATGAGAATTTCCAAATGTGATACGTCATTGACCTGGAAACAAGGAACACTGGTGGCTCTTCTGAACTACCAGTTAATTCCAAGATAATGTACAAGCACACTGTGAAATACTGTGACATGTTCACCATGGGGAAGTGTCTAATACCTCTTCGCAGACTAATCTGAATTTAACTCAAGTTAGAAATGAATTGGAGGATTGCTGCTCACAGTGCAATGGCTCTGTTCTGGCACTTAAAAGTAGATTCCACACTGTGACAGTGCATTTGCAAGAGCATTTTAAGCTTGTAATAAAACACAAACAGAAAATGGCTTATGAACTCAGTGATAAATGCTTTTTGCAGAACAAAATAAAGATAAGTGCACTCTTCATTGGCCTGAAGTGACAAACTCATGAAGTGTGTGGAATGTCTACAGGAAAATCAAAGGGTGGTAAAGTGTGTGTGGCCAAAATAACCTTTTGCTATAAACTTTGCATCCATCCAGAGCCTTTATCATAGGAGGCTGGGGCCTCTGGGTGAAATAGCTTTATAAGAATATGATGGTTAACTCATAACAAAGCCCTGCGTAGCTTTAAATGACAATGCAAAGTACAGGTTATCAATATATTACTGATCTTTAGATTCCTCACTACAGGCTCAGTATTCCCATGCACTGAGCACCTGAGCTTCTATCAGCAGGGAAGATAAGGGCACTTGACATCTAGAAGAGTGCTTGTGCTGACAGTGTCAAAAAGGAGAACCACTGTTTACTAACAGAGTAGTGAGCTTAATTTGTACTTTGGCTTTGAAAATAAATGATATTGTCTTTTTCAGAAACAGTGTCGTCTCCCCTGTCATAGATGTCATAGACTGGAAGACTTTTCAGTACTATCACTCTGTGGGCCTGCATAGAGGTGTTTTTGACTGGAAACTAGATTTTCATTGGGAGCCTGTGCCAGAGCATGAAGAGAAGGTACGACAGTCTCCCATCAGCCCTATCAGGTAACAGTCCATCAGCCAATATGCCTCCGTTAAGCTCAGCTTACTGTGCAGTTTGGGTCATCTTCCAGCTTACAGAAGAAAGACGTGGTTACTTACATATGCTCAGTTAATGTTTTTTGAAGGGATAGGTTTGTGGCTTACAGTGAGTTTGTTTGGCCTTTAGTAATCATTCTAACTAGACTGCAGTCACACTTTCCACACATTGAGACAACTAGTACACAATCTGACCAGACAAGGCGTGGAGATTTGAAGGGAAAGCAAAAGATGGATCATGCAGAGTTAAAAGAGATGTCTTGATCATGATCTGTATGACTGTTGTTTTGGGTGTATATGTATGTAACATTTCCCACTGTTCTGAGCTTTATTTAATAATTCAGCTCTTGGCTCCCTTCCCCAAGCAAATCCTAGAATTCAGTTCCAGTTGTTCTTTCTTTGGGTTAGATAATCAATTTTTTCAAGCTTATGTGGAGTACTATTCAATCATTTTGCAATACTATCTCTATGGAAATGGCAGGATTTTCATCCTTCACATAATTCCCTATCCAAAACTGAAGGTGTTCACTTCCAAACTGTTTTCTACACCAGGAGTCCTGTGGTAGCTGGTGCAGTGGTGGCCATGGATCGACATTACTTCCAAAACACCGGAGCTTATGATTCTGACATGACCATGTGGGGAGCAGAAAATCTGGAACTGTCTATAAGGGTAAGAATTTTAAGTAAAACATCAGGCTGTGGTAACTATGGGGCTTTTAAGAAACCTGAATGAAAAGGCAAGAAGTTATTTATAAAAGCAATTAAGTGCAGAATTGTCTTGAGGCATGGAGAATATCACTTTCCTTGCAGAAATCTCTCCCCATGCTCCGTGATCTGTCAGGACTATACAAGAACATGCAGCTGCTGAGAGTTAGGAGCATTATGTCAGGAGAAGAAAGTTTGACTGCCTATCACTATCTGCCTGAGGACAGAGTCAGTGTTTTTGGCACCTTCTGAAAGCTGACTTTTTTTTTTTTTTTTTTTTTTTTTTTTTTTTTTTTTTGGCATGTAACATGCACCAAAGGGAGAGTAGCTTTATTTCTTTGCCAGCCTGTAGTTTTAATACCAAAATGTTTATATTAAATTGTTTGCATTGATTTTTGCTGAATACAAAGACTGCATGATATTAAAAGCAATAACAACTGTAGACACAAAGGGTATGGAGTCTTTAATGTCCCAGACCAAAGAAGGTGTGCCCCCAGGCCTCTTCACTCCACTGCACTGTTTGTGCACAGAAAAACATAAAAGCATATAAATAGCCATACTGGGCCGAATCAAAGGTCTGTCTTGCCCAGTATTTTCTTTGCATCTCTATCTGTGGGGAACAAGTGTATGAAGAAGCACATAATAATACTCTTGCTGTTTCCAGCAATGTGTAGATTAGGATTTCCTGAGGCAGAGTCTATATTAAAGGAGCTTGTCTTTTTCAGATAAAGGTAATCTAAATAAGGTAATCTCTTTTTGTTCTTTCACCTGTGTTTCAGACCTGGCTCTGTGGTGGCTCTGTAGAAATTATTCCATGCTCCCGAGTTGGGCATGTCTATCGAAGTCACTTTCCTCGTGCTTTCTCCTATGAAGAAGCCATTGTGAGGAACAAAATCCGAATAGCAGAGACATGGCTGGGCTCTTTTAAAGAGAACTTCTACAAGCATGACACAGTGGCTTTCTTAATCAGCAAGGTAAAGACATCTGTAGCGGTTTGTTTCCGAGGGAAGGAGCGTGTTGAGGTAGGGGCTGGAATAGGGGTGGGGGTGTCTGTGTGCAGTCAAACATTCAATGAGCATGGTGCTGGGGATAGTCCTTTTATGAAATCTTCCAGTGCAAGAGCTGTCAGATCAGGAAGGATCTTGTGCCTCAGAGTTGTTTGCTGAAGTTATCAAATCTCTTAGAGTATGACACTTTCTCCAAATAATTCCTTCAGCTTGCCTGTCATGCTGTGATTTATTTTCCACTGATAGTACATGGAGGATTGGAGTGCATCTGAAGTGGAAGCCAGTAGCACCGTGTGCTCGAAGCGCCCTCCTAGAGGATTCGTTCATCGTTACTGAAGCTCTTCCTCATGTGATTCATGAGGATATTCAGTAATATTCACGGGCATGTGGCAAATTGTGGTGTCTCTCATACTGGAAGGGAACATATCTGAGTGGCAGATATTGTCTAGTGACAAGAAAGATGGGTTTTTTCTTCCTGAACTGACAGATGTCCAGAAGCAACTGTCTGTAACTGAGAAAGTCAGATCTCAACATAGCCACTATTTACAAGTTACTTTTTCAGCAGAAGCATCACACAGGCAGCAATCTGACCCCCAGGGATTTGGATTCCCAGCAACCTGCACACTAAGACAGGCTTGCAGCCAGGTGTGTGGCATAGCCCTGGCATGCAGCCACACTTGAATCATCTGCCGGCTGCACACCATCCAACAACTACAGAACAGCCAAACTTGTTTTTAAGCCATTGTATAATCCATGGCAGATCAGGATCAGTCAAGGGACTGTATATCCCATGTATTACAAACCAGTGGATATTTGTTTATTGGCAGTCATGCAGCTGTGGTTAATGTTGTTAATGTTAGGCTGTTAATGATGTGAAGTTCTTAATGTTGCTGCAGTTCTCAGGAATTCTCTGGCTCCAATACCTTTTCTTGTAACAGTATTCTCTCCTACAAACAGTATTCTCTCCTACAAGGCAGAGGTCAAACTTGTGAGCAGTTGTGAATAAAAACATGTACTTCATCTTCTTGTTCATTTAACAATGCCATGCTTTTAAGAAGAAAAAGATTCACTGAAAACAGTTTGGCAGATCACGGGTAGGTGCTGTGCAAAGTTCCTGATTTGGTTTTGCTCTTGCATTTGAGTCCTGCGTGCTTCAGTCATTGAAGTGCTGGCTATTGTCTAAGCAAGGCAGATCCAGCAGGAGCTGCACCGTAGTGGGGAGAGGAAAAGGACCCTCCTTCAGCGTGACATCTTGCCTGTCACCTAGTCTGTCCTTACAGTCCACCAGTGGATCTGCCTCTCCAGTCAGCCTGCTATGCTACTCCTAGAGTCTGAAGCTGTCACGTTCCTTTTTTTAATTCCATTTCCACTTTTTTAAAAAGCTTCTCCCTCCTCATCTATGTTGTAGGTTTGAACTCCACTGTCCAGAAGTTCAGCAATTGACACACAAGGGTTACAGTCATGGAATTGCAAGGAGGATGCTAGGCCAAGTCTTTTAAGATGGACCTTTAAGTTAGGCCTTTAAATCATTTAAGAATTTCCCGAAGGCCTTTCTTGTCAACTCAGAAGCAATTTTCTGTACTAAATACTACAGCCATCGATACAGTTTACTATCTCTAAGCACCATGACCTTTTGCCTGAGAGTTTATTCTAGCCAGAATACTTTTAGTACTCCTAAGTATGATGCTCCTTCAAATGATCAATTTTACGATCTCTGTGCTCGGCATACCATAACATAAAAGGCCCTTTTCTCTGTTCTCTTCTTTCACAGCCAATATTTTCAGTATGTCAGTGCAGTGGGATGCTATTCAAAAGACACACGCAAGTGATGACATTATTGCTGCTCAGTTGCAGATGGGCCCCGTGGAGATTTATTGCACTGAGAGGGGGAGCATGGCAAAAATGTCCATGAGCCTTGATCACTGCCATTGCCCACTGCAGAAAATAACTAGTGACCCCCATTTTGATGCTTTAGAAGTCTTCTTGTTTTATAGTCTGCATCGCATCCTGCACAGGATGCCCATGGCAGGAGCATTAATGCAGAGGAATAAAGCTCTTCCCAGCTCTCTATTATTTCAGCCACCATCTCTTTTTCTCCTTTTCTTGTGTGGTTTGTTTAGTTAATTTACAATCACAGTTTCCTTTCAGATTGGTTTACATGGATAATGACTTTCTTTACATTATTTACACCATTTATTTGGCATCAAATGCAGACTGTAACTAGTATGATAAAATGAGATTTACTGCCATTGCCTCCTTCAGTCAAAGCAGAGTCTCATGAGAAACATCTCTTTTTAGGGGAAACATTTTTCTTCTCTATTTCCCTTTTGCAAGAAAACCTCTTGGGGATAGGTTTGTGTGGTGCTGAATTGCATACTGAATCTTAAGACTGATACTAAACTATGAGGTTCTCTTTAACATATTGCAACTGTTGAGCTTTGCCTGTGCAGCTTACAGGGGCTGGCAAACACTGCCACGAAACACGACTGATCCCTGCCTTTAGAAACTGATACTTCTCCCTTGATCTCTAAGGCCCTTCATTTGTCAGTGTTTTCCAAGCATGTTGCAAAGTCCTTTTTTCTTTCTTATGGATGTAGAGAAATAGCTGGTCTGAGGAAAAGTTATTTATGGGCAATTCTTTGCTTACGTTACCAGTTTTAATTTCTGATGTAGGAATCCAGACCAGTTTCCTGGAATCCAAAACTGCATTTTATAAAGTAGAAACATGAAGGGGGAAATCTACTGATGGCAAGAAAGAAGAGAATCTTAAGGGTGATAAGATATTTTTAGTATGTGGGCACTGAGATTTAGAAAAGTGTTTTGTGTGGTTTTGAAATAGAAGGATTAGACACTTACCTGCTTAGAGGTTTTCAGAATCCTGTTAGCTACCTTGAGTGCTAAATACCCTCAAATATTCAGACTGTCAGTCCTTTGCAGTGCACCAAGGTTTGAAGGCACTTGTCTTTTTTCAGAACAGAGTTGCTACCAGGAAGGGTGAGAGTTGATTTTGTGTGTATCTAATTCAAGAAAACACGTAAATCATAGGAAAGGTTTTATGCCTTTATAGCTACAAAACACATTCACTTCCTAGATTTAGTAACCGTCAGATAATAATGTGATAGACTATATTTTGGGCTAAATTCTGTCATCACTTACATCCTCTGATCATGAAGGACTGACAATAACTGGGTAATTTGGGCTGTTAAAGGCCAAGAAATTGAATTTTAATCAGCGGGGCAAATTCTGTACTGAATTACAATCTATTACAATCCCACTGATTTCAGTGCAACAAGTATCAGACTTGACCCCAACTTTTTTAATTAAAAAGATGACAACTGACTTATCTTGCAGTATAATAATCATTTTTAGAGGAAATACTTATTTTCACAGTATATGCCTCTTCTGAAATATTTACTTCCCTCACAATGCCAGACTAAATGCTGTTTTAGCACAAAGCTGGAGGAAGGCTATAGCTGATCCTCCTCCTTTGCATACTAATAAATATATCAGTATCTATAACATGCAGGATAGAAGAGGTGATAGAAATAAGTCCTATGTCATCATTTTCTAGCATCTCTAACACAAGTACACTAGTAACCTTGTTGCCCCTATGCTTTCTCCATAAAGGCAGAGAAGCCAGACTGCAGTGAGCGCCTTCAGCTACAGAAGAGACTTGGCTGTAGAAATTTCCAATGGTTTGTATCAAATGTGTACCCTGAGCTCTCCCAACCTGAAGATGAACCAAGATTCTCTGGCAAGGTAAGAGAAAACACACTATAAAAATGATGAATGTTTTTGCATTGTTCAAAGACCCAGTATCCCTTCCATGTACTAAGTGAGCATAGAGTAAAAGACTGTTCCTGCTTTGAATAGTTTATTGTCCAAACAGACAATGCAACAAGGATTGCAGGAGAAAGTAACGGGCAGAGGAGACAAACAGCTAGTCCAAATTAACACATAAATGTTGAAAGCCAGCCAGGAGCTGAACCCAGGTTGTCTGACTCAGTTCAGCATCACAGCTCAGAGGATCCTAACTTTAGTTTGTTTAGGTGCCTTTCATAAAGGAAAAGAATTGTATTGCTTCATGCAGATGGCAAATGCAACAGCAGCTGAGATATCTCTGTGCTGGTCCATGTGCATGAAGAGAAAAAAGCACTTCTTCAGTCCTGCGCTTCCCCCAGGGGCAGAGGTGGTAGCCATAGCAGTTCCTTTGCTGAAATGTGTATAAGAGGCAATATTCTCAAGGTTTTATTTTTAAAACACATAAATTTATAATTATCACTAGTTTAAATATGACTTTATTCCAGGCAGCCTTGCTGGACAGGATTTTCCCCCAACATGGCTACAAGATTTACTAATTATGTCACACTCTGCTATCTGTAGACAGATTTTACTGTGTCCTTTTACTATTTTGTCTGTTCTTTATTATCAAAGTTTGCTCAAAAAGAGTGTAAGAATTGAGTGTGGATCACAGGAATTGTCACATGTTTTTTTCTTCTGGAATATCTTGGATTTTTTCTGACTATAGTGTCCAGCTGAAATGCAATTTCCATTAGCATAAACATTTTCACATATTTCTTTTAACTATCATAATAGTTAAAACCAGAATGAGTATCTGTAACTTAAACAAAACTCACTGAGTAACACTGACCTTTGGGGAGACTCTACCTCTTTTATCAGGTCAGTTTGCAAGATCAATATGCAAGATCTAGTCTGAAAGAAAAAAATATTGCATGAATTATGAGCAAAAACATACAGTATAAAGAGATACAAAAAAGTTAGCTGAAGGATATTTTGTTTGTATCTGATTGTGTTTTATTTCAGTATAAACCTTTACTTACAGCTTTACAATACGGGTGTTGGCTTCTGTGCAGATTACAGACCTGGAAAAGCCATTGCAGAAGGCTCTATTGAACTCGCCCCTTGCAGTCACAGTCTTACCCAGGTACTGTATACTTCAAGTACATCGGCACTCTTATCAGATCTAGGGAACCATCCAGAAGACAGTCACTCCAACACGTATGTAAATGGCTTCATTGACATTAGTGGAAATACTGACTGATGTGTTCAAAATTAGGCATGTGCTAAGGCAATGATGCCCACTCTTCTGCAGCTGAGTGTCATTTGAAAAATGGCAATGTTCCATGTGTCACTGAGGCCAGATATCCACGCTTTGCTCCAGCAGAAATCATTAAGTGCCTATTGGTTAGTATATTTGGTAGTATCTGGAGAACAGAAGGCCTGGGAGTAAAAAATATATAACAATTCTAGAATAGTGGGGATCAGTTTCCCCATTTAGTGCCTAAAACTTCAGTTTAGTGCCTAAAGTGCAGTCAAAGACCAAAGAGAAATTCATGTACACCTCCAAGCTGGCATTAGACTAGCAAGCTCATGCATTAAGAGAAGCCAAACCAATACAGATCGACTGCAGATATTTACTCCAAGTCCCAAGCAAGTTTTGCGGCTCACACTGAGCTCAGGGTGAGCTGCAGACACACTTCTAACTGCAGTGTGTGTGGGCACTGTCAGAAACACTCTTCTGTTAAAATATTTATTAAACTAGAAAATTTTATTATAGGATGTGTTTACTTTATACATAATTACAGTCCACAAAGCCTTTCCTGAGGTAAATAGCTATGCCAGAATTAGCTAGTGGGGGGAATTGCTTTGCAGGGTCAAGGCTGTTGGGTCTCAGTCACTAATGTTTGGGTTGCATCTTAACAAACATGTACAGGAAATTGTTCTTGGAATTAGCATTTAAAAATTAATTGGCATGTCCTTCCATCGTTGTTCAAACAAACCCTCCCTTTTCCAGTACTTTGAATATAACAGCATGAAGGAAATCCGGCTTGGTTCTGCTCCGCTGTTTTGCTTTGATGTCAGACATGGGAAGGTTATCCCTCAAAACTGTACAAAGGAGACAGACAACAGCCACCAGCACTGGGATGTCCAGGAGGTCAGTAGTGACTCTGCCGTGAGGGGAAGGCAGTTGACAGGGACTGTGGGATCACTGGGCAACTGACAGGATTCGTATGTGGGGAAGGGACAAGATATTTGAAGGGCAAGTTTCACTTCTGTACCATTTCACCCAGGAAATTTAGGATGCCTCTTCTCCATTTACACTGTCTTTGTGAAATGTTTGGTTTTTACAAATTTTACAAATTACAAGAATCTTACTTAAATTCCTATGTCCTGTTTTAACTGTTTCTCTTACTGGCCTTAGAGGAATAGAATCAGAATCAGTAGTTGTGAAAATAAGAGCAGGGCAAATTTTCTTGCCCATTTTCTTTTGGATAGAGGAAGAGTCTGGAAATCCTGAACCCTCCCTTTGGGAGCAGGGCAAACATTAAAATTCCTCCTGCATTGTGAGAGAAAAGTAAACTTCCTAACAGAGGAATTCAGTGGACTGCACCCAGCGGAGCAGGAACTCCTCCACAAGACTGAAAAATGTCATGCTCTAGGACAGCCTGGGAAAATAGCAGTTACCGTAGTTGTAGGGATGCTGCAATCCTCTGGTACAGTTCCTACTGTAATTTGTTTTGGTTCCTAAGGGAAGCACTGGTCCTTTTGAAATTTTGTGGCCTGTAGTACTGTAGTTGATGCTGATGACGACCTCTACCCATGGTAAACAAACGGTGGAAATGAGATTTACTGAATTCTGATTCTGCACCTACCACTCCTGTCAGCTTCGACAGGAATTGTGAATACTCACCATGCCCTAGACTCAAAGCTAAACTTAGTCATTATGTTTAGAGCAATACTTTAAAATTTTTGAACAACCAGTCATTACTGGTGATCTATGGTATGTATATTTCAGAAACATGGCCTAGCTTTTACTGAAATCCCTTATTTTTAATTTGTTCTTTCGTTCTCTTCTCTCATCTTGTAGAATGGAACGATTGTCCATGTCCTTTCTGGCAAATGCATAGAGGCAGCGAAGAGTGAACGTGAGAAGGACTTGTTTTTGTGTGTATGTAACAAGAATGCAAACCAGGTCTGGCAATTTGAACGTTCCAGTGTGCTACGTCAGAGATGACTGACAGGTCTCTGTGGAGGTCAAGTCCCCAAAATTTAACATTACTTCTGTTTGGGATTTAAGATACATTTCCTGCATGGACAAGAAAGATGTTTGTGTTTGCTGTAGCACGCAGGGAAGTTAGGAAGGTCTCTCTTTTTATAGCCTGGCTCAAATAGTTGCTGCCAGTTCCTGGTTTATTCAGCTCTAGCTAAAATTTCTATTTATTCTGTGAAGCAAGGAATAAAGATATTGTGAGCATCAACAGATTCTCAACTCTGCTATTGCAGAAGATAGTTAAGTTTGCCCTTTGAAGGAAACATGGAAAATTGGCTGCCAGACAGCTTGTCTTTAGCATATTCTGTGACTTCTGAGGATACAGGAAAATGAATGTTTGTGAAACTTTTGAAACTTTGAGAGTAAGCGAGCCAAACCAGGATAACGAGAGAGTTTAGCCTTTTTTTACAGTGCACTCCACTCATATAAAACAAAGTAGGTTTTGTATACATAAAAGTAGTAGAAGTTTTCAGGGGTAATAGATAAAATTTTGTTTTCCAACTAGCTTGAGCCAAACTTCTACCCTCTATGAGATTGCACAGAGCATAAATTAGCACTTAATTAGGCACTAACTGCTCTAATTGACTTGGAATACCAACAGTCCTGTGTTTGGCACACCCTTCCTTACATTCTTCCTCCACAGTCTAATTTGGATGGGAGAATGAACTGAAATATTAACTTTTGCTTGCGAGTTTTAATGAAATTTAAGAACAACTCTTCAGGAAACTTCTGTGGAATATGGAAGAAGATTGAACTAGATTAGAAAGAAGGGTAACAACTTCTCTGCTTATTTTGAAATGGAAAGTATCAGTGGCATCCATTTGGTCTTATAAAACTAGGGGATGAGTTTATTATTATTCCAGTGACAAAAGTGATGAAAACAGCAAATAAAAGGAAAAAGCAGGTTTCAACAGTGGCTACTAGGAAGAAAATACTGGTGCCTACTTCACTTGTTTGCAGCCTCAGTCTTTCACACTGTCAGTTTTAGCCCAGAAAATCTTTTAGATTCTTGCTGTTGTGGTTCTCCAAGCTGATCCTCAAATGACAGCAGCGTACAAAATTTTCTAAACAAGCTACTGCAGAGCCTGTATCCCTGCTGACCTTCCATCTTTCAAAGAAGTGAATGAGAGTTTGTGTTAGGTAATGAGAAAGGTCTCATACATTGTGCACTACCAAAGCAACTTTCTCTCAGTATTTTGTTAGGGCACTTTCCATTTTGGAGTTAAAACTAATAATGATGACACTTTCCAAGAGCCTGCTAAGACAGAAGAACAAAGATTTGGGAGTCTACCCACATCAGCACCACACCTGATTTACAGTATAAATCAGTCATAACCATATGTATTTATTAAAGGGGAATGGCATCATTAATGAAACTTAAATTTGTTTTTGAAATTTTTTTCAAGACACGGAAAATTGGTTTTTTTTTGTAAAAGGTAGAGCACATTGTTTGAACTTTAGAGAAAGGAAGGAATAACAGAATATTCTGCTCAGAGCCTCCCAGTCACCTGCTCTTGATAAATCATAATAAATTGGTTTCAAGCATATAAAACTGGTTACAACAGAAGTCACGAACAGCATTCTGTGCCGTCCAAAACATTTCCCAGTGGGGTCTCTGCTTGCTTTGAGTGGTGCCTGAACACCATGTTCAGGCATCACTCCAATCACCCTAATTATCACTTACTCTTTCTTTGATAGCATCAGAATCTAATACCATTTGCTGCTGTGTGATTTAAGATTTCCTGTGACGTTCTTGAAAATGCTTCAAATTTCAGCTGAAAGGATGGTAGTAACTTCTTCCAGAACACCAAGTGATCCCTGATCATTGCCCAAATCTATGGTGAGAAAAGAGAATTTCTAAAATTGCATAAAAGCTGAGTGAAATGCTGTTTTAATGACATGTGTTTCCTTTATTTTAAATTATATGTATGCCAGGTTTTTTAGTAATGTATTATTTATTATATTTTGGACTCTACACTGGGAATATAATTCCTTCAGCATTTAGCTTAATGTTAAAAGCGTATACAAATGTGGTAATTGATCACAAGTGGGATTTATCATAAGAATTAAAATATTTTTGGTTTAGAGAGGAAACATTTGGAATTAAACCTAAGAGGTGTGGACATCCTCATCTTATACTGCTATTTAACATAATAATAAAAACCTAGAAAATAAGCTTTGCTGTAGATATATGTACAATAGAAAAATATGCTACGTAACACCTCTTCCAACAAAATGAAAATATATGGTTCAGTACCATTTAAAAAATAATTGTTATGACACTTGTTTCTTTTAGTAACAGTGTAAACGTGTGCTTGGTTTCCCAGGGAACTAAACCCCAGAGCACAGGCCAGAAGGGAGCTTCAGTGTGGTCTAGTAGGTCTCTGTATGGGGATGGGGACAGCCAGGGGACACAGATTGTGAGCCATACCATGGTGCACACTTCCCTCTAATATAAACATAACTTCTTATTACACAAAAAACACCAAAGGGAAAACATCTATCTTGTTTTTCCTAGTTCCCTTCCTGTATGCCTTTTAACTGGATTGGTTGGTTGTACCAACACTGCTTCCCCGTTTACACTTTGTCCCTGTGGTTAGATCCATCAGCTAGACCCTTCTCCTCATGCAGGAAGTACAGGGGACCCGACAGAGAGTCTCTGCTAAGGATGCTAGTGTGTTTTCCTCAGTTTTGCCCATCTTTCACACAACACTAGCAGACATGGAATTACTTTTAGCTCTGTATTTAGACAGGGGCAACATTTCAGGTTCTTCTGATTCCCACTGACTGGAGAGACACATAAGAACAAAATGTTTCAGGCAAGGATGGAGTAGCAGTTTTAACTCTGAAGGCCACCGAAGCAAAGCCTTGGACAAGAGCAAAGGAAATCCAACATAGCACAAGTAAACATTTTACAGTCTAACTCCACCTGTTTCTTTGAATTTGGCAACCCAGGCATAATGAATGCTTTGAGCCAAACCCACCCATGAAGCTGAACTAAAAGGTCAGATTCACAAACACATTACCTTTCCGTTGACAACACTAAATAGCCTGGTTTATTCCTCTTCCAGCTAACTGGAAATAGAAGAACATAAAGGGTTGAAGTATTATTCACCTTACTTTTAAAGCTAGACCCAGTTGATGCAGTCATTATTGGCCATAGTTTGGGGTTTGTCCAGTTAGGTGAGGTGTCATCACTAACGCAGAGAAACAGAATGGCAGCATTTTTCTTCATGTATTAACCTGAAGTTTGAGAGGGGGAAAGGTTAAAGCAATCTTTGGGCTAAATCCTGTAGCACGGAAACGTTCAGGGCACCTCTCACTCCATGTGTAAGTGCCTCCAGGTCCTCCCTTAGAGACGCTGATTGAGCTGTAATGCTATCTGATTACTAAAATACAATAGCTTCGATTACAGATTCCCCCAGGAAGGAACGGGGCTATGCTGAGGCAGCAAGACAAGATCAGTAACAGCCTAGAGTTGTGTAACAGCTGGAAGGTGACATGTGAATGAAAGCTTTCAGATTCTGCCTTTGTATCTCATTTTATCTCCAGGGGTTTGATTCAGGTTACAAATGTATTGGAAGAGAGTAAAAAAGGAGTGTTTTGCAAATATTGGTAACTTCTTGGCTCATGTTTTTAAGCTATACAATCTGCACATGTCTGCCCTGAATAAAGTATATCGGTGCACAGTGAAATGTTGTCTTTTTATTTCCCTTCATTGTGATATGAGTGGCTAATGCCTCTTCTTCCTCATGCTGCAGAATAGCTGGTCTACAAAGACCCTGTTGGAAAGCCTCCAGTGGCAATACCTTCACTTAGCCATCACCTAAAGGTCTTAAAGAAATGTACAGGGGGACTCTGCCTCCACCAACATTTTAGAGGGAGGTTGATTTTATAGTCCTTTGCCATAATTTCTCTTGGTTTCAGTGGAAAGGTGTGAACAGGGACTACAGAAGTAGAGTCCCAGGAGAGCATGATCTCTGGCACACCCTTCGGACAGCTCACAGCTGTTTCTTCACCGGGTGACTTGGAAGGATGTACCAGAAAAACAATCTGGCTATACGACTTGGGGTAGCAGGCATAGCATTTTTGCCGTCTTTCTAGCTGCAAATGGTGGATTTTTGTAAAATAGTATCCCACTTGGGGATTACTATGCATTAGAGACATGGGATGGGATTCACCTCTGTTAACTGCAGCCACCTAAACAGTAGATGCAACTAAGCTAATTGTCTAGGCTTCTTCTACTGGTCAGCAGAGAACACTCCCAGAGGTAACATCTTTCATTGCAAAGACAAGTATTTAAACAAGATGGGTGAATCACTATCTAGAAGTACTTGCTTTATCTACTGATTAGAAAGGGAGTCTTCATGTTTAATTTAGATGGCATGCATAGCTTTCAAACTGGAGTTAGGTGGAAGGAACATCATTCGAAGGGTACCCAGGCTAAAATCCCCCCCAGGAGCCCAACCCCACTGCCCAGCTCTTCTGATTCCCCCCAGATCTGGCTTTACACAGAGTGATGACATCCAAGAACAAACTCCCTTGCCACCATCTGCAGTTTTATCAACTAAGCTTACACCAACAGCACTTATTTTTTTCAAGATAACTTCTTTGTTCACAAACCAAGAGACCCCACTGTGTAGGATGCTGTGTTGCAGTATAATCTGGTCCCAATGGAATAAGAATTCACATTTTCAGAAAAGTCTCTTTGGAGATGTTAGTTCTAATATTAATGATAAATCTTCTATACCTTTCTGCTGAGTAGGCTAGAAAGTGACAGCAGAATTTTCATGGTAGAGAACAGATACAGGTGTCAGGATTGTCAGCAAGGTTCTTCTTTTTAGCTTAAACCTAAGTTACAAACAGCCCAGCCTGAAGGCTGAATACATTACTTAGTTTCTAAGTAGCCATACAATGAACATTGTTAATACTATAATGATATTTATTTGCATTAATCATAATTTTGTTACAAATTGAGAAGATGGTGAAAATAATCCATTTTTAAAAATATGCAATATATAAAAACATTAAAGATATCTTAACATAATCTAAATTATTTTGTGCAATTATTCAAAAGATTGCTACCACAAATCTCCATTCTTTGCCATACATTTACTAGTCTTTCAGTCTTACAGACTAATAATGTCACTTATATTGTTATAGGCATAAATGAGCTTTAAAGGATTACATCCTTTAGTGTTATGTTTTTCACAGTATTTTTTCTTAACTTGATATCCTATTAGGTGAAAACAGGTTTTTTTACAATCTCTTTTTCATCATTTAATGTGACATTTACATGAAAAATTCAACTGCAGATATAAAAGAAAATCTACTAGTTCTTTGATGCATCAGGAGTTCATCTCAAGATTTAGAATATCAGATATTTGTATCTGAGTACAAGCCATTGAGAGGCTGCTTCAAACAGTGTATTCTGTCAGTCACTCTGTATACATATGGTTTGGGATTGCTGAACAAACCAAAAGTGGTCAAAAGCTGTAGCCAAATCAAAATGTTTAATGCAAAACAGTCCTACAGAGAAGATAGTTCGCTGCCTTAGTGTCATTTTATTTTTCTTTTCCTTTTATTAGCAAGCAGTGCCTGCTCTGCCTGCTTAGAAATCAAGAGCCAAGCAGTGAAGAAAAAGAGTTTCATAATCAGAATTATTTCAAGTGGGCAGATGCATAAAACTCATCACATCAATTAAAAATAAGCCTTGCAGTAACATTCCCATTGGCCAAGTTGTCTGTCTAAACCACTGGCTTTTTGTCATCTTATCTAATTTGTGTATTTGTTATACCCATCGAAAACTCATTGTCTGTGGTGCCAAGAGCAGTTTTAACTTACAAATCAGTCAACAAAACCTATAGCCTGGAAGACCACTTAGTCTGAGTGAGCAATGAATGCTTCCTGAGTTCAGCTGATGGATGATCAGCTGCCATGCCAAGGCCCCAGCCAGTGGCAAGAGCCACTTCTCTGGGGTAGTTTGCCATTCATTCCTTTATTTGCAGAAGCAAAGGAAACATTAATTTCCCAGTGTAACAAGCCACAGTCAGCCTGTGGTGTTTGCGTAGAAATGCACACGTACAACCTCAGGAACGGAGCCTGGTGCTGATGCTAAGGAAATAACCTTTAGTTTTACAAACACAATGAGCAGTTTCAGCTCCAGTTCCCGCTGTTGGAACAACCTCCTGCGTGTAGCCCGTGACAGCCTCTTAAGATTCTCTAGTGCCAAGAACAACTCTTAAGTCAGTGATGAGAGGGGAGGGTGAAACAAAATAGGTCTTGACACTGAAAAATAACTCGATAAGCAAGATAAGTTCACTGAGACCACAATTTCCTAATTACAAGAAAACATCCGTCTTTTTTGAAAAATACAGTATTTCCTACGTTTTCATTGAACATTAGATGTTGTAACGTGACGCTCAGGCTTGGCAGAGAGAGGTAATTCTATTTTGCAGCATTTCCAAGGTTTCTAAGTTCAGTTTGCTTTCAGTGTGGAACAAGACCCAGTGTTTTCTTTACTCTCTGAAACAGAGCTGGGCTGCTCACCAGAGGTATGAGGAGAGAGGTCCCCAGGACAGGGCTGCCCATGGCAGGGTGCTGGGATCCACTTCCTTGTCGCCCCATCATAAGAAAGAATGCTTTCCTCTGGGATGTCTTGCTTTCAACAAGCTAGCAAATGTTGATAAAAAATTATTTTGCTGGAATTTTCTTTGCCAGCTCTTGTGAACATGTTTACAATTACATGCTAGCAAAGACTGCAGACGCAGCAGAATGAGGAAAATCAATATTCAGTTTTTAACAGAGGGGAAGAATAGAGGAAAGTGGCAAATGGGAAAAGTTGAATTTAATTTCAATTCCCAGGTACATCCGTCCAGTTCTTTTTACAGCACTGGAACACTGTAGAACAATCCAACAGGGCTACGACAGTAACAGCAGCCTGAGGTCTATGTCGCAAGTACTGGCTCCTAATGGCATGCCTGGCCAGGAAAGCTTTTCTCTACATTTCCATACATTCTGGCCATTTGCTCTTTCTGCTCTCCTCAGCTCCTGGGGTCATCTTCATCTCTCCTTACCTGCAAAAGCAAGCTCCAGAGGGGAAAGGACGGAGGGGAAGGCTGGGGATTAAGGACCCAGAACCAAATCCTCAAAGCTGTTTCAGCTGGTGGTAGCTGCCCTGCTGTTTAATCTCTTGGCATTTGACTCACTCTTGGTTCCTGCTAGCAGTTCACTCGTCAGGTAGATCTGAGCAGCCTGAGCCTTCCTCCACAGTCAATCCTCCCTGCTCTAACTTGGGTGACAAATTACCTGAGCATCACCAAGTGTAAGAAAAGCCTACCTCCCACTCCTCAGGGATGTGGCAGGAATGCACAAAAATCACTCGGAATCAGAGGCAAAGCTAATCTTTTGGGTCCAGCAGTCAGATGCCGTTCCTCCAGCCTGCCTAGCACTAGCCCAATGCTGTCAGCCAACCCACTGGGGGTTTTGGTGACCTGACACTCAGGTCCACCTTGTGAGAACGCTCTAGTGTCAAATACATGGGTACTTTGTGCCTCTTTTACTTATTATTTTTAGGACCTCTAGTGGCAGGAAAAAATGCATTTTTAGAGATCATCTTGGAAAGCTCTTAACATGAAAGCAAGACATGAAATACCAGTATGGCCATGAACTCCAGCCAGTAAGGAATAAATCAAAATGCCATTTCTTTAATTAACATTCTGGATTTTCTCCAGGGAGAGTTATCTCACCTTTTTTTCCCTTCTTATACAGGATTCTGCAAAAGAACAAACTGAAACGGAGTTCTCCATTTGTGGAGGGAAGTATGCTTTTGTGCTAACCAAGGAAAATTATGGCACACTGGTTTTAAAAAAAAGCTGTCCTTTCGCCCCTCTGGCACCCCAAAAAACATCCCACTATTCTTCTAAGCAAAAGTTGTCCAAATCCAGGGCTGCTACTGCATAACTCAATGAAAGACTAAAGTCTGCCAGGAAAATATCCAAGACATAAAATACATTTATAGATACTGGTGATTGTTATTTTATGCCCATCAGTAATCTTTTTAGCAAACAGCCATCCTCAGTTATTGATATTTCATTATGGGGTTTCAAGGTGACTCTGTAGATGACGGGTTTAACCCATAACTTTCTGTTTCTCAATAGGAATACTTTTGGCATGATGAACATTGGAAATGTACTCTAGACTGTGAAACTCTGTCCCTCCAGATAATCCTCATTTCAATCCTTGACGACAAAAAACTTGTTTTTTGTCTGCAGCCCTTAGCCAGATCACTCCAGCTGTGCCAGTACCACTAAAACCCCACACACTGTGTGGATCTAGTTTTGCCAGGCCAGTGGTTTTCCCCACAGAACTGAGAAGAATATTAAGCTGCAAAGAGGGCAAGAGCAATTTATCCCTGCTTCTATACTAGGTCTCATCAGTGCAATTATATTATTGAAAATGTTTAAAACACATCTGCAAAATAAATAGTAAAACGAATTAAACCCCTAAATGTGGACAAAGTCTACATCCAGTAAGAACATAGGAGAGCTGTATCTTTTTTCCTTGGTTTTGGCAATAGAAAGATAATCCTAATGGACAACACAGGAGAGCACGTAACAGCAGAAGTGGCAGGATGGAGGCGGTTATTTCTCAGACTGTGAGAATGTGCAGGTGGCCATTTGTTCTACTGAGACCA